GACAGCTGTCATCTGAGTCAGTGTTGGACAGAGACAGGACCACAATTGTGTCAATATGAAAATATCTCTCCCAGAGCAGAGCCACCAGCCACGGATAGCTGAAGTACGCAGCCACGCCTACCACATCTCAGGGATTTCCGGGTGTATATCGAAGAACGAGCAAGTGTTGGCTAATCTTACCACTATTGTTTCTGTGTTCATGAACGAAGTATTTGTGTCGCTCTACGGGAAATTCAGTGCGTTGAAGCCAAAGCCATTGTACAACTTATGGTTAGCAGGGACGTGCTACAGACATGGAAGGCCGCCCGAACTGCGAAAATACTTCCTGTTTCGTCGGGTGTTAGCCGTCGTCATCTAGTTGCCTATGCAATAAATATGGATTGTTCGTTGTTTTATTCCTGACGGCACGGAGCTTCAAACGCTTTGCATTCTCATGGTTGAAGGAGCAGCTGTATTTCTTACTCGACACTTTCTTGCCAATAAAAGCTCTTGTGTGATTATTCTTACGTTTTTAGGCCCTATCCCTATGGTGGGTGCTTCCTGAGCACAATGGAGATTATCGCAGTGGATACAAAAAGTTTTGCTTAGAGACAGTCCTCGCGCTCGAGCAAATCGTAGGCCTCCTTAACTGTTCAAGTAGTCCTCCTTAATCGGTGAGACTTTTCCATTTGCGCGGCTTCACAGTCAAGGAATGGAAAGAAGGCGCTACGGTTCTCATAAGTGACGGGTTGACGCCTCCCTAATTGTCCCGCCTGCAAACTCAAAGGCGATTTTCTGTCACGAGTCTATTACAATGCGTTTTTCGTTTTTTTTTCTTCCTGTTAGCTAGTACTAGCATTGGGTGACGCTAAAAAACGATTGGTGAGCCAAGGGTGGCTATATATCGCTTTGCTGGCATGAAACGAGTAGATCCGAGAACTCATGCAGTGAGGCAGTCAAAGGTCCTTACTTAGGGTGTTCTCCATGATATTTTGGCTTTTTTCTTCTTTGGAGCGACTACAGGAGTGTAACTGAGAGCCACTACCCACAGAAAGAGGTGGCGGCGATGGTCTTTGAGTCTAGGCAGGAAGGAGCTTCTGGGAGGGTGTACCTAATCGATAAGTGATTTTCCCCTAGAAAAGCGTTTTCTCAGTTTGCGCAAGGAAACCCTCAAATGCTTCACTTTAGTGACGAGGCGCCCGATTTCATGCTCTCTAGACATTCCTTGTCGTGGGAAATGAAGCGTGTGGAGGTTTGGCTAGAAGGGATTCCATATATGGACAAAGCTCATTGAGCCAGACAAAATTCTGGCTCGGAGTAATGAGAAGCTGGAGTTGTTCAGGTGACTAGATAGACCGTTTTCTGGACCCCTCCCATTACCTTCAGAGCCTTTCAGCATAGTCGCTTGCACTATTCCAATGAGGTGAGACATTCGAAGCCCTATGAGACTTTCTTTCAGAAGTCGCTCGCTCTCAGTTTTTCACTCACATCTTTTTCCCACTCGGCTTCTGCGAAAATCCGCATACCGTGGTTCACAATCTTCTGGCGCTGTTCGTATTTGTTGTGGTTCCCACAATGCCCCGCTCCTGGCGTAGTGAGCTTTACCAGTCTCGAACTCCGTAAGTCACGATTTTGTTTCGCCATGAATCGATTAGCACGCCCTTCGCTGCTCTCCTTGAGAGTACTCCAATAATTCCAAGCTGCGGATCGTGCGCGTATTCCCCAGCTACAGTCAGGACCCCTGCGAAGGACGAAGGGTGATCTGAAGGTGGGAAACGTCCTGTCGTTAGGGAAAAAATTTGCGCAATGCGAGCCCCTAGCTCCCCTTCCCCCTCTCCCCCCCCCCCACGGGAAGCGGTCGAATGGCACAGATGTAAAGTGTCACACTGCCACTGAGACGCTGTTAACTGTAATCGCCACCTCCTTTCACTGCACTAATAACAAGAAAATTAAAACCATCCTAAAATTCAGATATGTATGTACCAGTCAGGATCGCACGGCTGACGCCGTGCTCTCCTCCTTCTCTTGAGCTCGGCTTCGCCGAGCTGGCCTGGCTTCGCCAGGCGGCTCCATAATTTTAACGGAACTTTTTCGGTAGTGGGCTGCTCATAAGGCGCTGTAGTGATCGAATCGTAACAGACAGAGCAAGGCTTACGCATCCAGCACAACTCAGCACGCGCTTCTATTTACAGCAGGCGGTGTAGTCCACGCCATGACGCCCA